CCTTCATATTGCCACGACAGGGGAAAAACACTGTTTGGTACGGAAACCAGCATGACCCAACGAAGGTCTTGGTGACCTAGCTATCTATGAAAAGTCTTTGTTTCCCCGCCCTTGCAAATGTATGGGGAAGGAACTTTTCCTTTACCTTTGCATTTTCCATTGGCACATTGAGTGTTACGAATGCATGCCAACTTTTTTTAAAAGACTGTCAGAGCACGTGTCTATGTATACTTCCCTCTATAAAGATCTGAAGAGGTACAAAGAAGCAGAGGACGCGTTTGCAGAGTGTGAGAGACAAGGATTGAACACCTCTCGTAACACTCTGCATACCAGAGGAACCAACTACCTTGCCATGAATGATACCGAGAGAGCTCGAGTGTTCCTGGGGAGGGCATTAGAGAGATGGGCGCCACCGACGAGTCGACGAGAGTAAACTATGGTGGGTGGAGAGAGTCCATAGGACACAGATATAGAGTAGGTTATAATACTACAGTAGCAAGAGTATTAATTTCTGGATAGTAGAATGCCTTTGAATGAAAATTGCCCCCCATGAAAATGGCAACTGTACATAATTTATTAAAACCTGCATTATCATGCAAAAGCATGATTCTGGTATTGCAGTTTCTCCAGATTACAAATCAACCACAACATCTCTACTTCCCCAACAGGCATTGCTCTGATCTACACAAAACACTTCGCCAAAGCCCTGGGGATTTTCAAACAGCTAACGACCGACTACCCAGACGATGCCAGCTACTCCAAACAGGTCTCAATTCTGGAAAACTCACTCCACCAGCCACAGCAATAGACAACTAGCTATACCACAGCAATATATAGAAATAGCGTCCTGCTTGTTTGGTCCAAGCTACTTACCACTGTTTCCCATAGTTCAATCATTAATTTCATCCCAACAGGCATTGCTCTGATCTACACAAATCTACATTAATTTTTATCCTCAATCATAAGCTACAAATCAATATATCTTCACCGCGGTTTATCGCTAAAGCTCTTTTAGTCCAACCATAGTTATCATCATCTTCCTTACCATTGTTTGTGTCATTTTCACAAATTTTTGTGAAATCTAAAAAACTTTGTTGTATATATCAATCCTGTGTTGATCCATCAGTGTAAAACTTCCGTTGTGACCGTTTCTGGATGTGCTGATGCAGCAGTTCTGCCTGTCGCACGAACGCCACGTCGCTTGGATCGAGGCGAGAAAGTTGCGTGAATATCTCCAGAGCTTCGCGATTCTCTCGCAGTTCAATCAGCATTATACCTATATTATAGTTTCAACAGTCAATGCAATTATTACTAAGCATGATGTAATGTAGACAAATTATAGGATTAGAAACGTCTATGCACAGTTGATTAACTGTGAAGGCCTTGCAAGCATGCTCCACCCATTAAATCAAGGATTAGTATAGGATTAGAACTTAAAGCAAGGTATACAGAGCAGAGCCTTGTAGGTGTCCTATTCACATAATGTCATCTCTCAGGCTCTTGATGGTAGCTAAACAAGAAAGTCACAGAGCAGAGCCTTGTAGGTGTCCTATTCAATAATGTCATCTCTCAGGCTCTTGATGGTAGCTAAACAAGAAAGTCACGTAAAAATCTCTCGCGGATGACATAACTCAGGAGCCAGTGAATTTGAAATTCGATGGCAAACAAGAGAAAAATTTGCAGATGGCAACACGTGGTATATATTCTCCCTCGAAGAGTGTAACACATCTCACCATAGTTCTGTAGGGCCATGAGATGGTCGGGGTCAACCTCCAGAACACTGGTGAAGACCTCTCTCGCTCTGGCGTAGTCTTTCATCTTCATTAGACACGTCCCCAGCTGGGTGTGGCCTAGCAGGTGGGCGTGGTCACTCTCTCGGAGCTGCTCCAGAATCTTCACACACTCCGACAGACGGTTCAACTCTTGACGAGAGAGACGATACGCAGAATGAGACTTTAAACCATGTACACAGTCCCTACTCTTATCTCACCCTTCCATAATAATAGTCCTACATATTATTTTTCTCTATCTCACTGTCCCTATCTTTCCTATTCGCCCGTCCCTACTGTTATTCTGCTCTATCTCACTGTCTATTCCTATCTTTCCTATTCGCCCGTCCCTATTCCTATTCTGCTCTATCTCACTGTCTATTCCTATCTTTCCTATTCGCCCGTCCCTATTCCTATTCTTCTCCATCTCACTGTCTATTCTTATCTTCCTATTCGCCCGTCCCTACTCCTATTCTTCTCCATCTCACTGTCTCTATTCCTATCTCGCCGTACTTTGCTGTCCTTATTTCTATCTTGCCCTATTCCGGTGTCCCTGTTTCCTGGCTCATCAACAACGGAGACATAATACCTGTGTAGAGGACCCCGAGATTATAGAGAGCCCCTGAGTGATTGGTAGTGAAATTGAGAGTGAGAAGAAACAGCTCCTCGGTCATGGTGTAGTTGTGGAGGTCGTACTGAACCAGGCCGCGGCAGAATGTCGCATTCCCATTCTCCGGATCCGTCTCCAGTACCTCAGACAGTCTGGGGGTATACAATATTTGACTACCTCGTAACATCACACGTTTTCTTTCCAGGGTAAGTAATGACGTATGTACCTATTCTGGACCATTGAAAGGAACTGTCAGTATATAAATGTTACTAAAGATGGAAGGGGCCTGTGTAAGAATGCAAGTTATCCCTCGACTCACAGAACATCGGCCTCCTCAAGTCTATGCATACTCTTTGGAGGTGTGTCGCTGATGAGTTTGGCGAGTCTGAATTTGGTGAGGGTGTGGTTTCCGTCTAGCCTCAGGGCCTGTCTGTAGTGACTCTCTGCCTCAGCTGTCTCGCTCAGCTCCTGGTGGGCGTGGCCTAGATTAGAGTGGCCTATGGCAAAGTCTGGATTCAGTTTCACCTTGTGAGAAGAACATTATTGTATATAAGTGGACCAGGTAAAATTGTGACTCTGCAAAAAGTTTAGTCAGAGTACTATAATGTGAGGAACTGCGTGTACAAGCTAGTGGTAAAATCAGAAACACATGCGCTAAGTGTCACACACAGATGCGACTTCAAACGTCTTTGACCCACGTCTCGACAAAAAACCTTTCTCAGACAACGTGACACTATTTCAACGGACAAACTGACCGATTTCTTGAAGGCGTCCCTGGCCTCACTAAATCTCCCCAGCTTCACAAGACAATTTCCCATCATATTGTGGGACTCTTCCCAATTTGGCTCCTGCTTCACTGCTTTCTTTGTCAGTTCGTAAGCCTCTTCGTAGCTCTCCGGATACTCCCTCAGCATGTTGGCTAGAGCTGTGTACACCTTGACGTCTTTTGGGGAGACGTTTATGGCAGAGTTTTCGTCTGCAAGGCCGACCGTGATTAGATCCGCAGCCATTCTGTAGATCTAAGAGGGAGGGGAGAGTATACTGAGAGGGAATACTGAGGAATACAGACGGAATATACAGAGAAGATTACTAAGAATACTGAAAAGTGGTCAGAGTCGACTGTGAAAACGATAGCCTACTTCAATGCGAAATGCAGTTTACTGACATGAAGGGATATACTGAGTAATATACTAGAAATTACTGAAGTTTACTGACCTCTATAGCATCTTGAGTCCTATTCTCTTCCTTGTAAAAGTATCCCAGGTTCATGTAGCCAGTGGTAAAGTTTGGCTCGGTGGCGATAGCTCTCTTGAAAAACACCTCAGAACTGTCGCTGTCTTCCCTCTCATTCGCCTCTACGGCGAGGTTACTCCACATCTTAGCATTTCCAGAGTACGTCCTGACGCTGAGCTGTAGAGGCTAAAGTTATCCTGCCAGTCTCTTGTTCGTACTACCGTCTTTATTCCATGGACAAGGAGAAGAAAAACGATCACGGATTTGAAAAACGGCGAAAATCGTTTCGAGTTGGATACAAGTAGGTGGAAGCCGTAAGAGACCAGGAGACAGAAGCCCATACTAGGGATGTAGAGGACTCTCTCAGCTATGACAAAGCCGACGGGGAAGAAGAGGTTGGAGGCTGGGAGGAAGGGGAGGACAGTGAGACAGAGTCCAAACATGATCTTCCTGTGGTGGCTGTGGCTGTAGCTGGCAGAGTAGCAGGAGAGGGAGAGGAGGCCGGCAAAGGTGGCCAGAGTCAGGAGGTTGCGGGGGTCAGAGAGGGAGGCAACGGGGGGGATGGTGCCCATGGCATACTCGGCACACAACTGGGAGGGACTCAGTAGCAGCCACACATTGTACACACACAAGTAGCTCCAGTGGAGCTGACGAAACGGAGTCGGGAATTTCATCGCCGGATTGTTACTAACTACAGCAGGTAAACAATTTTCACTTTAAAAACTCTGTTCAGCTTACCTGAGAAAATTGGCGGAGTTTTGTTGAGCTTTAATCGCAAGTACAGAAATGTGAGAGCGAAACTACCAATAACTGCTGTACGAAATAAAAGACTCTTTAACCAACGATTTTCAGCTTCAATTGACGGTTTATTTCTCCTTCGCATGCCTAAAATAATCCTCAAGATATTTCTCAAATTCATCTGCATGGAGTATAATCTTTGAATGAGATAATAGAAGGATAATTCGTACCTTTCTGTGAATCAGAACCTCATAGATGGGGCACATTGCAACCACGGTGATTCCTATCTCTTTACTCAGAGCAGAACACACTGCCAACAACAGTGTACACATCATGAAGAGAGCTGGACAACAATCGAGTAGCTAAAAGTTCGCCGTTTGAAAATGGACTGTGTTTACCTGAATTTTTAGTTGATAAGCTCTTTTTGTAGGTAAGTATGGAACCGATAAAGAAAAGGCAAGACAAAACATCTGCTCGTCCTACCACTCCTGATACCTGTAGGCAATAGAGAGCTAGCCACTCTTTGCTCTTGGTTGACTCACCGCCTCAGTGTGTATGGGGTGGACTGCAAACAGTAGTCCAGCTATCAGTGCCGGCCACACTTCACTGAAGACCACACCACACAGCAGTACGTACAGGTAGACCACTGCACTGTGCAGGAGCACGTTCACCAAGTGGTAGCCCAGCGGCTCCAACTCGTGCAGCATGTAGTTCAGCCGAAAAGTGGCCACCGTCAGAGGCCGATACGACTTGTGACTATCTCTGTGCGATATTTCTGTGCCCCAGAAGTCGTTACGGAGCAAGTTGAACCACGATACGTTTGGTCTCAGGTCCGCATTGTCCTTGACGGCGGCGGTATCGTCAAAACAAAGCTGAAGACCCAGGGAGTTGAGGAAGACGAGCGATCCGACAAGAGCGCAGATTGCCGCTACTGTCTCTACTCTCATTCTCACCACCGCCATGTTCTCCCGCTCCTCTCCAGCGAAGACCTTCGGGCAACCTGCCAAACACACTGACCGCAGCCCTCATAATTAATTGCGGTCGCACGTGGTTTCGCGCATGCGCACGAGCTCGCCCTCCGATCGATATGCAGCGATCAATGTTCATCAAAATTCCATGCAAGCCATCGTAGCAGCCATGCAGTAAGCAAAACATAAAACAGTGAAACCTGTGCAAACCAACGGCATAGCTACGTCGCCAAGATTAGTGCAGGTGAATGCAAACGGCCGCATACTACTGCAAACCGCACGTAACTTGGAATATTTTCACACGTATAAATCTCATCACATGGGCGTGCTTTTACGATTACAAAGTAAGGAGTCTGGCGCAACAGAATAAGTCCACGGAATTATACCTTTTTGTAGGCAAAAATGGCCGAACTTGCAGGTCTAAAGTAAAACATGCAGCCACCATCTGTGCAATCGTTGGATTTGTGGTATATTTCAATTCCCTCGACCTCGCGTTCAGCTTCGACGATATGAGTGCAGTAGTGAAGAATAGTGATATTCGTACGAACGAGACGACGTGGTTTGATCTGCTTCTCAATGACTTCTGGGGGACGCCGATGAGCTCTCCGGATAGCCACAAGTCGTATCGTCCTCTGACGGTGGCCACTTTTCGGCTGAACTACATGCTGCACGAGCTGGAGCCGCTGGGCTACCACTTGGTGAACGTGCTCCTGCACAGTGCAGTGGTCTACCTGTACGTACTGCTGTGTGGTGTGGTCTTCAGTGAAGTGTGGCCGGCACTGATAGCTGGACTACTGTTTGCAGTCCACCCCATACACACTGAGGCGGTGAGCACACAGTAGCTAATCCCATGTGAAATTATTTCCTTTATTCTGAAGGTATCCGGATTAGTTGGGAGAGCAGATGTGATGGCAGGAGCATTCCTTCTTCTCTCAATTAATTTCTACAGAAAATCCCTTACTCGTAATTCAACAGGTATATAAGTACATCATACACCGTCGTAATTATGGACATTCAGAAAATATGCAAAAATTGTTTCGATTCCTTTAATGACGATCATTACTGTGCACATAATTTTCCCTCTAAAGTGTGGTTCGTGGGATCTCTTCTGCTAGTAATGTGCTCAGCTCTGAGTAAAGAGATTGGAGTGACAACCATTGCCCTCTGTCTGGCATACGATCTTCTCATCCATAAAAAGGTACAACATTCAAATTCATGCAGCAAACATTTTTTACTTACTGTAGGTCCATTGGCTGTAGGAAAGTAATAGTAATAATTGCAGGGTTTTACCCTCTATACAGATGAATGTTGGTGGGGTGCTAATGATGTTCCTAGGACACAAGTCTCAGTTATCCTCACACCAACAGCAGTGGCTGCGTCAGTTTTTCAGAAGAGGATTTGTCTGCGGCATCTTTGTCGTTTCTTTTCTCTACTTCAGACTGAGATTAAACAGTGGACCTCCTGACCTTTCATAGTGAGCTTCCATAACACATTGCCACTTTACGAGTGTTTCTTTATTCTGCAGTTATAATAATCCGGCGATGAAATTCCCGACTCCGTTTCGTCAGCTCCACTGGAGCTACTTGTGTGTGTACAATGTGTGGCTGCTACTGAGTCCCTCCCAGTTGTGTGCCGAGTATGCCATGGGCACCATCCCCCCCGTTGCCTCCCTCTCTGACCCCCGCAACCTCCTGACTCTGGCCACCTTTGCCGGCCTCCTCTCCCTCTCCTGCTACTCTGCCAGCTACAGCCACAGCCACCACAGGAAGATCATGTTTGGACTCTGTCTCGTCGTCCTCCCCTTCCTCCCAGCCTCCAACCTCTTCTTCCCCGTCGGCTTTGTCATAGCTGAGAGAGTCCTCTACATCCCAAGTATGGGCTTCTGTCTCCTGGTCTCTTATGGCTCATGGTGCGCCCTCAAAAAAGTGAAAAGCTCAAAAATTGCCAAGATCATCATTTCGGCAGTTTTACTCTACCTAGTGCTGTGGCTATCATTCAAGACCGTTGCTAGAAACCGTGACTGGATGGACAATTCAACAATATACAGAGCCACCTGCAAAATCTCTCCTCGTAATCCAAAGATGCTAAACTTTCTCGCAACTTCCATACTTCTTCCCGAGAACAGGTTCGAACTGGCGGAGAAACTCTATCACCACACTATCGACGTTGAGCCTCAGTACACCTCTGTTTATCGGAACCTCGCTGAAATGCTCAGGAGATTTGGCAGAACCAACGAAAGCATACAGGTATCTCTATGATTTTTGTTGTATAATGAAAGCGAAAAGACTGTTCGGTAGTCAGTGAAAAGATTAACAAGGGTCCCTAATGTTTCTTAGAGAGGTGTCTAAAGAGATGTCATTTTAAACTTCTTGTCTCATGTGCTCCAACAGATACTTAAAGAAGGAGCGAAAGTGTACATGGCTGGAGAAAGAGGAGAGAATTTCTACCACACCAGGAACGACATCCAGGTCATGACGGAGCTGTCAAAAAGTCTCCAGGAATACACCACTGACTACAGCGGAGCTCTTCAGTTTGCAGAGTATGCGATAGAGCGAAAACCTCGATGGGTGACCCCGCGGCGTATCAAAGCAATGACTCTCCTGAAATTCGGTCGAGTCGAAGAAGCAGAGGCGATAATCGAAGAAGCTCTCAGGATCAGGGAGTTCTCAGAGGGTTATCTGACTAAAGGAGAGATCATGGAGGCGAGGGGGGAGTGGAGAGAGGCAGAGAGGTTCTATAGGAAAGCTCTGGAGATGAACAGAGACAGTGTAGAGGCAAAGATGAGCGTGGCACATTCTCTCATCGAGAATCTTGGAGATGACAGCATGTTCCACGAGGCTGAGCTTCTGTGAGTCGAATGTGCATGATAGTGCGAATTAGTACGAGATGCAGTAAAATGATGGAGATTTCCTTTAAAAGCATATTCCTTCCAATCTCCAGCTATATACAGCTCCAGAAATCACTCTTTAATTCACAATTTTTCCAAAAACTTTATCTCTCATTGTCGATGTGTAGGTTGACTCAAGTGTTGAAGACTGAGATGAGCTCCAAAGCTCTCTACTACTTCTGCGAGCTCCACAGGAAGGGAGGCAGCAGGGAGATAGCCAAGAACTACTGCAACCAGTCCTTGCAGCTCGATCCAAACGCGCCGGACCCCTTCATGCTCTCGGACTGTTTAGCTTTGGTGAGCCAAATCAAACCTTTAGTCCAGCAATGATAATCCCAATGTTGTAGAGATTCAATTTGCTGTGATGCAAGTTTACACCATATTAACTTACAGTCCAGGGGAAAGGAATAGTTTGCTTACGGTTAAACACGGTGTTTTTTGTTGTTACGAGGCAAAGATTTGTTGTTGTTGTTGTTTACGCAGAGGAGAAGGACTATGAGGAGTCTGTGCGACTGATGCGGCGGCTGCTGGCAGCGTTTCCAGACCATCTGGATGGCACCGTCCAGCTGGCCACAGCTCTGATGGAGCTGGGCGACGACACGGGAGAGGCCAAATCTCTCTTCCTCTCTGCGTTGAGGCGAGATCCTCACCACTTACAGGCCCTTCGTCATTTGGGTACGTGCAACACGTATGTGTATATACATACGATGTGTATTAGTCGGTTCATTCATTGGTAGATTTAAAAAACTAGACTCATATTTTTCAGGACAGATATATAGTGTAGTTAGCTGCCATATCACCAAATTAACACATCCCAATCTTTTGGAAGGTTTCTTGCTTGACGTTGTATAGTACTGTATGGTACATAAAGTTTTCACCTGATGGTCATATATAAATCAATTCCTGCCACAGGAATTCTCCACATTAGGTTCAACGAACTGACAGAGGCTCACGACGTGCTTTCGCTATTGGTGAACCTTGACCCCTCCGATCAGGCAGTTGCCAGGCAACTGGAGATCCTCCGACAAACAATCAACTCCCAGACAAAAGATTAGAGCAATGGATGAATTTCACAATATCAGTTTTTTAACCAGTTGATTAATTTAAAATGTATAATACAATCACATAACAGCAATAAGAGGTTAAAAGAAGTGAGAGGTAAATTGAAAATGAAAGTGTGTCAGCGAATGGACTCGGCAAGTCTTTCTTCAGCTACGGTCTGTCTCCATCTCATCTGCTGGAGTCTTAGTCGAAGGTTGTACAGACCTGTAGTAGTCTGGTCGGTAATAATATAGACGAGAGAGGGGAGAAAAAGAAAACATTATTTGTAATACACACACCTCATGCACATGCAAAAAGTCATTACGGGGAATGTTCCACTACATAAGGGCTAACATGTGCTAAAGATGGGACCAAACAATAGGGCCCAATGCAAGAATGCAATTAGGTTTCCGCGTTACAATCCTTATTATACTGCTACATTCCCTTTAAGTGGTATTTGTTCAAGTTTTTTCCGCTGCCTAACCTGGTGCTCTCTGCCGAGCAAGGCATACTGGTCCCTATTAGGACGAGTGTTTCTGAAGAAGATGAGTGGCTGGAGACATATGAAGAGCGTGTATAGAAACAGTCCACAACTGAGTATTAGGAAGATGATGACAATGACCTAATGGAGGGAGGGGGGATGGGAGAAAGAAGAGAGATGGGGGAAAGAGGAAGAGGATATGTGAGAAGGACGGGAAAGAGTGAGAACATTGAGGAGAGATAGAGAGAAAATGAGGAGTTTAGTTTTTGACTTACGGCAATCAAAATGCTGTTTCTCGATTCGTAAGCACAGGTACACCTCAGACACAGCACGTCATCGGCAACAGGCAGAATATTCTCACAGAAACTAGAATCAAATATACAGTAAAAATGGGAAGGACAACAGAATCAATCAGGGAAAGCAGTCTTATGGATTTCAGGACACCAAAGGAATCAGGACAGGTGTGTGCACACGATGACGTACCATTCAGAAGGGTCGTTGACCTCCACCATCCACACGGTGGTGTTGTAGGCCAGAGTCACGTTCAAGTTGTGGGGACAGACGCACTTGCACCGGTTGTCGGCGAGGAGACTCCCCCAAGACTCGTCGTGTTTGGAGGCGAGAAAGTACGGAGCAATAACCTGAAATACAGCTCGTATAGTGACAAGATTGGGACGAGGAGGAAAGCTAAAAAGCTTACCTTCATGAGCATGAGTAGGACAAATGCCGATACAACGGCAAGGAGAAACGTCCAGGCGACGAACGAATGAAACGCCCTCGCCAGCGGGCCTTCCTTTTTCTCTCCCGTCGGGAGGAGCTCTCCGTTCCCCCGGCCATTACAGCTGCTCCCGAGGAGCGGCGCCACCCCAGACCCGTCGCTTAGCTCGTCTTCCTCGCTTCCAGTGGGCTCGCTGCTACCCGACATCTGACTCTCGTCTATGTAATTGCGTTTACTCAAAGGTCAGAGGTTAACTCCGTATACCATTTGCCTCCGCGTATTACGGAAACCCAATGCGCATGCGCATAGCTGATAAAAGTAAACATGTATGAAGGGATAGTAAAAAGAGAAGTTGATGAATCAAGTGTGCATGCATGGAAAGAAATGAATTGCAACTAAATAAAGTTTATACACCTTGTGAATGACATGAAAGTTAGATATGGCGATTGTACATAATCACAGGAACACAGTAAATTAGCTGACAAAAGAAAGTTTACAAATCCGATTTAGCTTAAAGAGCTCGAAACAACGAAAAATTCGTTATCTGTTTACAACAAAATCCACGAGTTTTTTTATCATGACCACATTTTAGCAGTGTTGCTTTGGTGAGGGTGTGGCGAGTGAATTGGTGTGAGTGAGTGAGTGTATGGCAAGGAGCAAGAATAGGATAGTCAGAACTAGAAAATTTAATTCGGCAGTCGTGTGTCGTTAGTTTCCACTGTTCTTAATGAGTCGGTAGACGTGGTGTTTTGATCCGTCCTCCGTCGAACAGACCTCAAAGACGAACGCCAGACACAGCAACGTTTCCTGCGTGTCTCTATTGGTTACCACCTGTAGTGAGGAAGGGGTTAATGCTGCATCACTTATAGTGATTGAGGGGTTAATACTGCATCAGAATGGCAGCAATGTTGAGGACAAGGTTCAGTGGTTCATCTAGGGAGTAATGCGTGGCTTACATTTTTAAATTCTAAACTATTCGTACTTTTAGCAAGCAAGTGGGGAGAAGGACAGGCCAACCAACCATCCTGAATACCTTGACTATAGCTGGAGTGTGCAGTGAAAGAATAGGGTGGCCTAAACTTCTCGTACTTTTAGCAAGCAAGTGGAGGGAAGGACAGGGCAACCAACCATCCTGAATACCTTGACTATAGCTGGAGAGTGCAGTGAAAGAATAGGGTGGCTTAAATTGTTTGTACTTTTAGCAAGCAAGTGGGGGGGGAGGACAGGCCAACCGACCATCCTGAACACCTTGACTATAGCTGGAGAGTGCAGTGCAATCACTCTACAAAGCGACTGATTAAATATACCCTCCCTCCATGTCCCAGCTAATGCTCTCCCTCTCACCTGTAGAATGGTGAAGTTTTCGAGGACGCTATTCATCATGTATCTCTCCGGTAGGTGTTTGAGTCTGTGGATGAAGCTGACCATGTAGTCGCACATCGGGGACCGGTTGATCCGATACACGAAACGGCCGTTATCGAATCTTGCATACTCCGTCTAACGGAGGGAGGGAGAGAGGGGATTAAGTAATTCATACTGATGAATGTACTTCGCTGATATGCACGACACTCGTTTTGTAGGCAGTCAAAACTTCGATGTTATATGCCACACAAATACATAATTGGCAATTCACTTCGATAATTGCGCAATTAACGCCTATTAAAACACCGTAGCATAAGTGAAACGTGCCAGCACTCACATTCTTACGTACGTGTATGCATGTTTTCTACGTACCTCGACTTTTTCCACGACTTGTTTTCCAAAAGAGCAGACTTTGGTCGAGCAAGAGATGGTCATGTTTTCGCTCGATTCGTACTGACTAGTCACCCCATAGAACGCCTTGGAATCATCCAATAGGTCTGTGTCGATGTCCGCCTGGAGTGGGAATATTAATAGTAACGGTTCTGATGATGTAATGCTTCGTGGTACTATATTTAGTGCCAGTTGAACAAAATTAATGACATATTATAGCTAAGGCAACCACCTACGAAAATTGTAACCCTCTGCAAATGCACGCCAAGAGCTAAAAATAGAGACCGCCCTTCATACTATAAATAGAACACAGAGAGTGATGTCATACCCAGAACTTAACGAGGAAGAACCGGTCGCGTGGTCCCTTTTCAAACAGGTCTTTGAGTCCTCCGTTGTTCTCGGGGAACTTGTCGGCGATGTGGAGGATATCTACTGCCTGTAACATAGAGCAATGGGGAAATAAAAATAATGGAGGAAACAGAATTGGTATTTTTATGAAAACACAAACATTATCTATACTAACTAACTAACCTCCATATGTGGGTCGATGAAGCTTGTGTTGGGACTGATGTTGACAAATCCGTGCTTCTTGTCCTGTTGAGAAAAACGGGAGATCGATTGTGGTTTCATAATGAGATTCACGGGTTTATACATACGTGACTTACATTTTCGTTCTCTGACTTGGACTTGTCCACAAATGCTAAGAACTCGACCATCTTTAGCGGCTGAGAAAGAGAGAGAAACATGTCGCGGGAGTGTTATAAACAGTTCAGGGGGGAATTTTCCAACTGCAAAGAAATGCTTTAAAAAATTCAGGGCCGACCAATCAGGAAATTTTGGCTACACTTCATAGGAGAAACAACTACTGTCGAAGAGAGAGAGATAAATCTCACCAGGTTGGGTGGAGGAAGGTGAGGTATTGCAGTGGGCGTGTCTCCCATGGCGCCTGCTGGGTTAGCTATCACAAATGGTGTCTTCTGCAAACAACAACAACAATTGTTGACAACAAACATTGACAACAAACAACAACAACAACAACAATAGATAGATTGATAGTACTAATCACAGTTGAGGGGTCAAACCAGGCAGACACAAAATTTTGACGTTCCTTTTCGTATGCATTCCAAAATATTTTTCTGATTTAATTACTGTCTTGTACGGTTGGACATGCAGAAGAGGGAGAGAAGAAGAGAGAAGATGTGGGGAGGTGTAGCTACTGTTCCTCACCCCTCTCTCTTCTTCACTAGCTGGTGGCTGGGAGAGATCCACGTTGGCCTGTTGGCTGGTCACGAAGAGTCCCGGTGCCCTGGCAACCTGGGTAGAGTGGCATGGAGACAGGGTAAACTACGAGGAGGCAAAACAACGAGTCAACTACACCCAGGACAGAGACAGCCATACTGTACCTGCAGTTGAGGGACGGTGGTTGCCATGGAGCTGGCCGGAATAAACTGCTGCCCAGCTTGGGAGAGAGACGGATGCCAAATCTGAGCAAAGAACAGACGAGAGCAGCTCATTGCCACACTAACACGTCGTCGACCTATCTCCTCAACCTAACATAATTCCGTTGAGAAATTCATTTAACCCTTTCAACTCACCAGTCCAGCTGCCGCGGGGTTAATGAGTTCATGTTTCACAAGAACGGGGCTTCCTCCAGGCCCAGCTGTTGAATGAAGATAAGGAGAGCCCACTAGCAATATAAACAGAGACTTGGTAGCGAGCTAAATTTAACCTCTACACCACTGGGAATAGCATAAAATTAACCCCTTTCCCACTGGAATAGGGGCAATAGTTAAACCCCTTGCACACTGGAAAGTTAACCCCTTCCCCACCGTGAGAAAGTTACAGTTAACCCCTTCCCCACTGTGAGTAAGTTACAGTTAACCCCTTCCTCACTGGGAGAGAGCATGGTGTGCATGGGGATGGGGTTCCCGGTGATTCCAGGGGTGCCAAACATGCGGTGTGCCCCCGCGTTCTGGAGTGACGAGGCAGACACGATCTGGGCCGACGACATTGTGGACAGCCCTGCCATGGCTTTCTCTTTCGCTGCTTGGTCCTGTAGAGCAGGGGGCAAAATATGACTCTTGAACATTTTGTGCGTTTGTGTTTAACCTTATCTGACAGAGCGAAAGAGATAAAAGACAAATTTGCATCCGAAAACTTGTGATGTTCGCATTGTGGGTTTGTGGTGTGTGGTACTGTATAATTATAGTGTGTGTGTGTGGGTGTCTCGGTTGCCACGGATATTGGAGGGCTTTCTAGAGTACTCTACACACGGCCCTGGTTGGTTGCCATGGTTATTGGAGGGGTTCTTTGCCACTTTTACGCATACATGTATCTCCGGCTCTCACATTCTCCCTCTCCATTACACTCACATTCTCCCTCTCCATTACAAAGCAGTGTATTACATGCAATGTATATACGTACATACATTGACCATATCATGGGAGACTTATTACTACATGTACATGTGTAATGCATGTGAGATCAAAGGGACGAAAAGTCCTTTGAAATTGCCCGCTTCCCTAAGTGGTGGGTAATTGAGAGTGGGCAGTGCACGGTTGCTACCGTACACCTCCTCAGCGTGATTGCTTCACTGAGAGACCATGCTACAGAGTTCACCCCACCAACAACACTTGGTTACGTACATAGAGCCCTTCTAACTGACGTATTGGGGTTGAGTGTGTTTACAATGAAGTTATAGGAATCTTGTGTTATGTGGTCAGTGTTCCGTGAGGCGAGCACGTACCTTTATTTTGCCCTGTATTTCTCTCGCTTTCTTTCTTGCAAGAACTTGAATGTGGCTGGAGACCTATTTAGAGAGAGGAATGGAGGAAAAGAGAGGGAGAGGGAGGGAGGGAGGGAGAGAGAGAGAGGGAGAGAGAGAGAGAGAGGGAGAGAGGGAAGGAGAAAGAGAGAGAGGGAGAAAGGAATGGAGGAAAAAAAGAGGGAGGGAGAGAGGGAGGGAGGGAGAAATTAGTAAGATTCCAGAGTGGAGTAGTCGGAAGGTGGGAGTTTACAACCCGGGCTCAGGGGAGGATCTTGCGTGGCTTTCACAAATATTCCCTCTGCGATTTGACTAGCTCGTGTGATCGAGTTAGCTACTATGCGAATTAGTCGAGGAATGTAAGACCTGTCTCGCATGTACTGATTATACAACCACTGCATGTGTGTGCGATCCTCGAAAACACGACATGCAAGTTCTCCTTTCAAGTTTCCTCGAGGCAAGAAAGAAGAGAGAGAGAGAGAGAGAGAGAGAGAGAGAAGGAAATAGTTTAGAAACCGTTTTTCAAGAAGCTGTATTTTTAAAATCTACTCTGGTATTGCAGGAATGGGGGGACAGTGTACACAGGTATGTGGTGGACAATGAAATGAACGTGATCTGGAATGACAAACATCTCTGGGCTCCTTGATCTGTTATGCCGCACTATGCAAGGATGGAGGGTTGTAATAGTTGGAGAGATGATTAGTGCCACTTGGCATTCACCTGGAATCCCCTTACAGCCTCAGGAGGGATTTCGTTCTGATTTGATAGTGTCACTAAAGCCAGTGCAGTTAGCATATTAGGGAGGGCTCTACCAACTGAGTTAGCAACTGGCTGGGCTGAATCACTCATACAGAGCAAGGCAGAGCACTCTGTGTTCTAGAGAGGGCTCTACCAACTGAGGCAGCTCAGCTGGCTGGGCCGAATCATTCATACAGAGCAAGGCAGAGCACTCTGTGTTCTAGAGAGGGCTCTACCAACTGAGGCAGCTCAGCTGGCTGGGCTGAATCACTCATACAGAGCAAGGCAGAGCACTCTGAGGACTCTACCAACTGAGGCAGCTCAGCTGGCTGGGCCGAATCACTCATACAGAGCAAGGCAGAGCACTCTGAGGACTCTACCAACTGAGGCAGCTCAGCTGGCTGGGCCGAATCACTCATACAGAGCAAGGCAGAGCACTCTGAGGACTCTACCAACTGAGGCAGCTCAGCTGGCTGGGCTGAATCATTCATACAAAGACAGAGCATACCGTGGCATCTCATTAGCACTAGATTCCAAGGCCTACAAACAAATAAGGAATTCCAGTCACGTTGAATCTGGCCGTGGAGACATGGTAATGGACACACCGTGGCGGTAATGTGATAGGCCAGGGTCTGGTGGACAAGGTCTGACGATGAAGAGGTTTGGATGCCTCCGTGCACCGCTGTCACATTCCTCGCCATTAGGCAGAGTCGGCAGCCACTTATCAGGTGTCGTGTGGAATGTAGTTTGTGAGGCGTGGGCTGCATCTGCCCCTTACCCAAGAACTGCTATTCTGGTTTCAGTATTACAACTGTACGTCTAGAAAACGTGATCCCGACTCACTTAATGGATGTATGTCTCAGCAACTTGGTAGCGAGGTAGAAAGGCAAGACAAGGCAAACAAGTCAACTAACCACTGTACATCTCCTTTTTAGTGCATAATCGTTAAAATTTCGCCCCGCCCCTCCCCCCTGCATCTGGTATGTAATTCTGTTCTACCATTGATTCCCTGCTCAAGTTCACTCGCTCTCTCGCTCTCTCTCTCCCTCTCTCTCTTTCTCAAAAGGGCAGCGTGTTTCCATTCCTATAGACAACAACATATTCCACACATCCAGGCCACTGGTTTGTCCATCTACGTAGCTGTCCAACGAAGCTTCCTTCGATATCACGTGGTAATGGGATATTTCTCGGAACGTGAAATTGAAATCTCGCCGAGCCAAGTTTTGCCGCATTCTTCGAGGTCCAGTGACCAAAACACCCATCTCTGTCTGACCACGTGCTGGGACGGCCGTCACCACAAACCCTCGTCCTGAAAACGGTGCACCCAGTTCAGGACGACCTGAACGAATGCGGACTTAAACACCCGAACAATTGGGACACCTTTGGTGGAAAAAACTGTGTTTGCACTCTCGAAATGCACACACATACAAACCACTAGTATGCCACTGTTCATAGCCCCACAACATGTATTGTCCAGTATATATACACGTGTGTATGTACATATGTATGTATGTATAGCGCTGTACATTTAGCATACATATTGACAGTGGGCCAACAAGACGACGATGTGTGTGTGTGTGGCAACACAGTATGTGTACAGGGACTACATGAAAACAAGGCTGGGCTACAACGACTCTTACATCGCTTTCACAAGTCGACGTAATCAGTAACATGCTAACATGCACAGACATGTACAAGCAGTGTACATAATGTAAAGCAGTGTCTGCCTGCCTGCTAGTCGGGATTTGCCTGGAGCCACTACTACATGCGTCCCCCCAGCCCCAGAGCTAATCCTTTATTTCTGCCAAGATTTCAGGTATGCGTATTGTTATGCAGGGAGTAAAGACAAAACCAAGGCTGGAGCCAAAAAACCACTTATCTCATTTTTGGCATTCCTCAAACACTCCATTTGTTGTGGGAAAGTCAGGCAAGCCCTACAGCACTATAGTATGTATGTATGTACATGTAGACATTCGCTGCATGGGCACGGTTCACACAGAGAGAGAGAGCATTACCTCACTCCCTTCCTCCATTATCTCTTCTCTTACCACAGGAAACCACACGACAGGTCGCTAAAAACACTACAACCCCTCTCACCCTCCCTCCCTCTCCCTCCCTCTCCTGCCCAGAAAAATCTTTTACACGGCTTTTTGCAAAGAAGGCCTCCTCTCTAGCACTAGCGCACACGTCGGGGATATCGTAATAAAATCCTCACTCTCCTATCTTTCCCGTGCAATACATGTTAAAACCTCTTTCCGTGTATGATGTATACATTAAAGCTGGCCCATACAACCGCTGCCTTCCCACCACAGAGCCTATTGTAGCAACCACCCGATTGTGATGTCACACTAAAGAATGTACACTTGTAGGGTCGGGCATGCCAGGCTGGATTCCTGGCTGGTAGGAACTTACCTAGGAAAACCCAACTATTCAGCAAATGATTATATCAATGTCTGGTGTCAGTTAACAGTCAATGGGCCCATTGAAAGTCTGGACACTTACTCCCCTGTATGTAATGATATACTTTTAATATAATAGTGCTTATAGAACTGTATAATATAATTCCAAGAAAGACAGGATGGGATATATACACAGTAGATTAAGTAGAGTGGAGTATTATAATAGGCACGTACTTGCTCAAGGAACGTAAGTGATTATTGTGAATGTTTTTAAAAGGGTTTTTTCCTGATTTATGGTCACAAAACACTACCAATTGATTACAGGGCATATAAAGGAACACACTTGTTATTGGGTTGGCATTTTTAAAAAGAGACTTAGTGTATTTTTGAAAGATGGTGAGGTTGAAATAAGGACAGGTTATATAGTTTTGAGGCGTGCTATCAAGACATGCACACCAGGACACGTCATTAATAAGGACACCACCCAGTAAAGATAAGTACAATGTTTGGAAGGATGATCAATTTTCAGTCGATGAATGGTAATATTTTGGTTTCTAGTTACTCAAATATAGGATCACACATCACAGTCGCTGGACTGGATGTGTGAGGCGTCCTGATCAGTGACGTGTCCTGATTAGTGAGGTGTCCTGATCAGTGACGTGTCCTGATTAGTGAGGTGTCCTGATCAGTGACGTGTCCTGATCAGCGAGGTGTCCTGATTAGTGAGGTGTCCTGATTAGTGATAAGGTTTCATGATTAGTGAAAGACACCATCAGAACGGGAAGGTTGAGAGGATTCAAACGGTGTTAGCGGTTTTACAACTGGATGTAAAATAAACAAGTTATGAACATTTTTGAGGGCTCAGGGTCATGATGCCTTTAGCACAGCTATGTATAATACCTACACAGCTGCTGCTTTACTAGGCTGTTGCCTTGGCAATTATCCAGCTTAGCCTGGCAGGCTGCAGGCAATAATGGGCTGAGCAAAGCTGGCTACTTCCTGTTTGTCTAAGACTTTCCCAGCCACCATCTGCTTTGAAGGTCTGTTACACCCAACCTTGTCTGTCTGGATTTGGGGGGCTTTCTCAATATTCAATCAAGCCCATTAATTATTGTCCCAGCCACCCAAGACTGATTAGAAGCCCTGCGTCTAAGTAATGGAGCATTGTCTGGAGTTCTGGGGGGAAGTGTAATAGGATGTGGGTGGTGGATCACGTGACTCTCACGTGACCCGTTACCATGGCAACAGACATGTTGCAGAATACGCCTGTTTTTCACTGTGTATATAGTTGGGTGTATCACGGGACCAATTAACCACACAATTTGGTAAAATTAAACACTCCATTGGTTTTCAGGACACCTGGGAATTGTGTAAATCAGGACAGGGTTGGGGGTCGACGTGGCGGCTTTCAGGACACCGAAGCATTTCAGGACAGAACCAGGTCCATTGGGAGACATTGTAGTATGTATGTACAGGTCTCCAGACAAGAGGGCGCTCACAATCATCTAAATAAACTATCTGGGTCAAAAGTCAAAACCATGTAGTCCAGTGCCATTG